GCTGCTCTCTGTAGCTCCAGGGAGGGGAGAGCCCTGTGAGTGCTGCCTGGTGTTGAGCAGGTGTTCAGTCCTCCTGGGACACGCTCAGTGTAGCCTCACCAGCACTGAGACTGGCTTCAGCGACCTCTTGTGCTGTTCCCCTGAGAATGCACTGCCCAGGCATGGGTGGAAAAGGACTGAAGGGAATTGGCCTTCCCCTCCTGGACAGCTTGCTTCTGATGAAGGGCAGAAGGGAAAGAACCGTGTCCTGTGAGGGCAGCCAGGTGTGCCAGGAGCACTCCGTGTGTCTGCCAGGGCAGACAGCTCGGTGTTGGCAGTTGCAGGGATGAACATCACACCTGCTGGTGGTGTTTCCTCTGGGTGTGTGGCAGGGCTGTTGTAGCAGGGCTGTGAGTCCTGCAGCAGCAAAATTTGGCATCCATGAAACAGGTTAACAAAGCATTTCTTGTTTTGTTCCTGTAATGGCAATCCTCGGAGGGCAGTGAGGTGATGGCCCCTTTGCTTTTCTCCTACAGCTTCATTTTGTGCTGCACTTGGGTTGCATGGCAGCAAGAACTGCTTTGAACACAAAAAACAGAGTCCCAAGCCTGCATGGTTGGGACTGTCCTCGCAGAGGAGTCTCCTGCCAGCTACTCTGCACAGAGCTGCACTTGGGAGGGGAGTGAGCACTGCCTGGAGCTGTGTGGGGTCCCTCTGGTGCCTCTCACTGTGGGCATTTTCTTTGGCAAAGTGCAGCTGTGGTGTTTGAGGGTGAGTGGGTGTGGATGTGTGCCTGTGGGAGACAGCTGGTGCAGGAGTGTGAAGATTCCCCAGGAGTTGTGGGGGTTACCTCTGATGAGGGACAAGGGTCCCAGATGTGGCCTGCACTGTGACAGCTGGGCAATTTAGCACCACTTCTGAGCCTTCACAGCCTTCAGGGAGGCTTTCTTACTTTTGCTACTTATGACTTAGTCAACCTAAAACATTCTTCTGGTTGGATCAGAGAGCATCTTCAGAAACTCTTTTGTGACTGAAATTAGTAGAAGAAACTACCAAAGTCTCTGAGCTGGGAAGCTCAATGTAGAGCTGCAGTGATGGGTAGCAGTGCCCAGGGTCAATCTCTGTTGTTTCTCTTCACAGCTGCTGGGATTTTTTTGTTGTGTTCCAGGAAAAGCACCTTGTCCTGCTGATTCTTTGGTGCATTGGGTTTGCCATTGCCCTCTTATACGTGCATCAGGCAGGCTGCAATTCAGGTGGAACTGGTTAGAGCTTGTACTGAGGCAGGAGCATGTGATTCTGTGAGCACACAGGCTGTGCATTCACTGTGTTTTACAGGTGTGTGCTTTTGTTGTTTATCGTTCATCTGCTTTCCAGAGTGTTTGTGCTGCGTGTGTGTGAGATGTTTTCACATTTGCATCATCCCCAGTACTGTGTGATCAGACTGTGCTCCAGGGCAGTCTGTGCCATGCTGGCATGGGAGGAGATCCAAGGGCAGCTGCAGCAAAGCCCTGAGATTCTGCAAGGCCAGAGATTTTCCTGTTCTCTCCTTGCTGCCCCAGCATTTAGTATATTCATTATTACATGGTTAATAAAAGGGAGAGTTTCTTCCCTTACAGATGTGGTGAGACATTGGATTCCCAGAAAAGGGGTCATGTGCTGGAGCCTCTGGGAACAGCGTGCCTGCCTCTACAAAGTCTGCATGAACCCCTTTAATTATCAGTCAGAGAGCAAAACTGTGATGCTCTAGGTCACCTGTTTGTGCTAGTGGGGGTTTATTCGGTCACTCACAGTTTCTAGATGGGTGTAGAAGCTTAAATATGTAGAGGGCGTCAACTTACTGACTTTGGTAGCTTTGGTCACCAAGCAAGCAGACTTGGCATGCAGCTGAAGGTTGGAGAAATTGCTTTTTGTGCTTGTAGGTGGGGGGTGGGGTGGAAAATCAGCACTGATTGAATGCTGGTACTGAATTACATGCAACAAAGTACGAGTTGAACACTTGTGTAATGCTGAGTGTGCCCAGGAAGACAAGTTTGCAGAACCTCATACTGGTATCTAAAATGCACTTTAGGTTATTTTATCTTTAACCCAATTGCTGCAATTTCTTTTGTATATACTTTCACAAAGTTTATTTTTGCTCTGAGTAAAAGTTAACAGGGGTGTGCAAAGATGAGCACTTAACTTGGTGCAATACCTGTAGCTAAAGATCTTGTCCCGCGTGGTCCGTGTGTGTCTGTCTGACAGAACAGCTGTGGTGGCTGCTGTGCTGCCCTTCCCCCGTGCCCCAGACAAATTATGCATCGTTAGCAAACGTCCAATCTATGCAAATAACCCTCTGAGAGCACTGTGCTTCAGCAGCCTTTTCTCTCACGCTTTCTGGGGGCTGCTTGTAACTCCTGTTGGACATGCTGTGTCCCTTGATGTGTGTCCTTCTTCCCCTTGTCCTCGTTCTGGTACCCACGTGGGAACACAAGTGACAAGCTGCTTTCAAACAGGCATGTTGCACCTTTGAAATTTGTCTTCGAGATGGTTTCTGATGTCCTGTTACTGCCTTATTTCTTGGGGGTGGCATGGCCATAGCCATCCACAACGTTGTCCTTGATGTGCATCAACGCTGTGAACTGTTTACAGCACTCCTACTCCAAGATAACCTGGGTTCAGAGCTGGAGCTGGGGGGGAGCTGAGCCCAGGGTAGCTGTCCTTGGAGGAGATTGGAGATGAGCAGCTGTTGCTGGGTTGTTCCTGAGGGGAGGCGGCTGGGTCAGTGGGGCAGAGCAGAGCTCTGGTGTCACTTTCTGGCTTCCACTGCTGGCCGGGAGACACCGGGCAAGGCACAGAACCTGGCACTGCCTCGGATCCTCCCCACGGAACGAGGACAGGGGTGGTGTCTCTGCCAAACGATTTGAGATCTGCGGGTGAAAAGTTCTAGGCAGGAGTTACCTGAGCTAGCTGGGCAGAACTGTTGGAGTCAGTTTGGACTGTAAGGCAAAAAAGAAGAGCATGTCTTTAATAAACCCTATAAATTTCTGACTGCAGAGTTTTTAATTGTATACTATTTTTTCCGTAACATATTTTGGAAGCAATGTCAAGTTTTTATAAATGTTACCTGTAGTCAATTCTCATGGACAGGGCTGAACTTTTTTGTGTCTTGTCTTGATATCTATCACATGTTCTAGAAGTTGGATTCTGTGTCTGCACTGAGAAATGCAAATTAAACTGGATATTTATGTAGTAGTGTACATAGTCTAAGTGTGTGTTTTTGGAACTAGGTGAAACCCCACACCATGCTGCAGTGGTGTGCAAGCTGGCCAAAATTTGGTTCATTATGCAGTGTACACTTTCTCAAATAAATGCAGTTTCTACTTTTTCTTAAAAAAAAAAAAAAAAAGATTTTTTTCACATGACCTTTTCCAGCAGACTCGAGGGTGTGTTTGCAGTGCTGTAGTTGCAGTCGCTGGTGTTCCTGGTTTGTGACTCTCTTGTCCTCCCACTGCTCGGGCTGACTCTGCTCTGTTTTGCCTCAGCCAGCCCAAACCCCAGCCTGGCTCCACACCGGGGGCAGCTCCAGCTCCAGCTGAGCTGTTGGGGCTGGGGAGGCTGCACTGCCTGGGGCCTTGGAGACAGCTGAACTAAACCCCAGTTTCTCAAGAATGTGTGTATGGTAATAAAGGAATTTATTTAACTCTGAAACATGGGAACAAATGTGCTTACATTGAGCAATGTGAAGATGTTAGTTACAGGTACAGTACTTCCAAAGGAAGAGCATCTCCAAAACCCAAAAGAGTAAATATGAATTTGTATTTTTTGAAGAATGTGAAATAATGGTGTTTGCTTAATTGCTCATTTTGTATGAAGTTAATATTGTACTTTGAAATATCTGCAAAGAAGTGGAAATTAACCTTTTTGGAATTGAAAGCAATATTAATACTAATGGAATCCTAATTAAATGCTTATTTAAACATTGTGTTATAATAGTTTTTCCTGAGAGTATTCTGTGAGAGAGGAGTGTGAGCGTCCTGGCCTGTCCCCTTAGGAAGAGGAATTCCAACCCTGAAAGGCAGCGTTTGCCTTTTCACCCTCCTCCCTCTCCCAGCACTGCCCAGCTTGGCCGCTCTGGTGCCCTGAGGTGTGAGTGGAAACGCAGAGCTGGGGCCTCTGCCACCGCAGAGCTCCATCCAGCTCCCGTAGCTGGTTCCTGCTCAGGTCACGGCTCTGGGCCGGGTCTGAGCAGAGGCCACAGGAAAGCTCAGCAAGGTTTTTGTGCCTCTGCAGCCTCGCCAGTGTCCGCTCGGGCTGGTCCCGACCCCAGAGCAGCCAGGGAAGAGCCGACCTTGGGAGCACACGGGCGGCTGTGCCTCCTCCTCAGGAGCACACGGGGGCGCGGGGAGATACAGACCAAGCCCGTCTCGCTTTATTTTCAAGTGTAAATTTAATGCGATAAGGCACGAGCGCGGCGAGACCGAGCGAGCTCCAAAGCCACGACGGGGGAGCGCGGCGGTGCCGCCGTCACCGATCCCTGGAGCTGCCCCGGCACCGCCCGGCCGTTCCTGGAGCCCCGAACCCCTCGGTCCCTTCCGCGGGGCCGATCCCCGGTCCCGGGGCTCCTCAGGGCCCCGCGCCGCCCGCCGGGCCGGGGCTCAGCGCCGCTCGCAGCGCGGCCATCGCCGCCGTCAGCTCCTCGCAGGCTGCGATGCGGGACCGCAGCTGCCGCTGCCGGAGCTCCAGCAGCTCCCGCAGCCTCCGCGGGTCATCCGGGACCTGCGGGGAGACGGCGGGGACAGCGGTCACGGCCGGCGCCGTAGATACCCCCGGAGCCCCCGATGCCCCTGGGCCCTCCCGTTCCTCCCCACTCCGGACCCCCGATCCCCCGTTCCCCCCGTTCCTCTCCTCTCGCACCGGCCGCTCTCCCGCCGTCTCCGTCGGGCCCACGCGCGGCTCCTGCGCGCCCCCGGTCGCCATGGGAACGGCGGCGGCGGCCCCGCCCCGGTTGTTACGTCATAACGCCGCACCGGAAGTGGCGCCGCATGGCGCGGGCGGCGCGGATGCTGGCGCTGGCGCGGGCGGCGGAGGGAGCGGTGGGGCCGGGGCCGGGCCGTGCCCGCCTGGTGCTGTTGCCGTCCGGCGGCGGGGCCCGGCCCGACCCTCAGGGTGCTCGCAGGGAACCAGCGGAGGGGGGATGCTGGGCCGGCAGGAGCGCCTCGGCCGAGCTGCGCTGCGCCGGAGCGGAGGGCGGCGGCCCCGGGCCGTGGCGGCAGGAGCCGGGGCACCCCGCTGAGGCCTGGTGTGGCGCAGGCTGGAGGGAGGCGGTGGCGGCCGCGGCCGGTGCCCTGCAGGCGGGCGGGCTGGTGGCGGTGCCCACGGACACGGTGTACGGCGTGGCTTGCCTGGCGCAGGACTCGGCCGCGGTGCGCAGCATCTACAGCCTGAAGGGGCGGAACGGCGCCAAGCCGCTCGCCATCTGCCTCGGGGACGTGGAGCGGCTCTACAGGTGCGCGCGGAGCCCGCGGGGTGCGGAAGGAGCTTCCTTCCCTCGCAGACTCCGAGCCCCACGGGAGGGATGGGAGAGCCGTGCCGGAGCTGCCCCAGCTCCAGTGGCCCGGGCGGCACCGTGCGCACACCCTGATCCCGCTGGTCTGTGCCCTGCAGGTACTGCCACGTCAATGTTCCCGACGAGCTGCTGCGGGATTTGCTCCCGGGACCTGTGACCCTGGTCTTAAAGCGCTCAGAAGAACTAAATAAAGACTTGAATCCATTCACATCGGTAGGTCATGGCTACAGGATTGATCTCAGGGCTTTGGGGGCAGGGGGCTGGTTTTGTGCTACTGCTGCTGTTGTAACATTTGTCGTTACCTGTCACCAGAAGTGGTCCCTGCCTTGTCCTGCTCCCTGTGACTGACCTGGGCATGGCATAAACCAGCGTTAGGGCCTGACTTAAGTCTTGTGTTATTGCTGGTTCAGCAGATGTAGATCTGTCAATTCTCTGGAGTTTCAGCTTTAAGTAAACAGAGCTTCAGGCAATGCAAAATGAAAACAGTTTCTGTGTGCAAAACCCTCCTCTCCTTCCCTGCAGCTGGTTGGTGTTCGCATTCCAGACCACCCCTTCATGAGAGACCTGGCACGAGCCTGCCCGGGGCCGCTGGCTTTGACAAGCGCCAACATCAGCTCCCAGGGCAGCACCCTGACCGTGTTGGTGAGGATCTTTCATCCCTCGGGGATGTCACTGGAGCAGTTGGGCAGAGCCCCAGGCTCTCTCAGTTGAGCTCAGCTTTAGCAATAAACCAAGGGTTGCTCTGCTGCTGTGTTTTTATTTCATTTAGATAATACAAACTGCTGTCAGGACTGTTACCCGCAGCTCTCTTGCAGGAATTCCAGGACCTGTGGCCTCAGTTGTCCTTGGTCATTGATGGAGGCCCCATAGGAGACACCCAGAGCCCAGAGTGTCGCTTGGGGTCAACTGTGGTTGATTTATCTGTGTCGGGGAAATTCTCCATCATCCGGCCTGGCTGGTGAGTGCAGCTGGGGCTTTTCTTTTGCTTTAAATGAAACAAAGCTTTTGGATAGGAGTGGGTCATGCATTACTTTGCTTTGTTTTGTTTGCTTTGCTTTGCTTCCCACAGCAGTTCCACCTTCCCATTAATGTTAACCTAATTATGAGCACACACAGAAATCCTCAGGATTTCTGAAATTCCCCTTTCTCACAGCTGCTGTGTGAAGCTAGAGTTTCTGGAGTTCATGCTCTCCTTGGCTCTAGGTGCAATTCTGTGTCTTGCTGATAGCTCTTCCCCAGAAAATCAAGTTTTAATGCTCCAGACTCTTTGTTCTGATTGCTCTGTTTCTCCCTGCAGTGCACTGGCGCCCACGGTTGAAATACTGAAGAAGAAGTATGGCTTGGTACCAGAATCTTCCTAACCCTTGGGACTGGGAGCTGCTGGAGCTGGGCACTGTGTGCCTGTGCACTCAGGAGTGGGTGATCATGGCCTTGTTTAATAAGGTCGATGGGTTATGTCAAGGTAAATTTTAAAGAAGATTAAAAAAGAAAGAAAACCCTTTCTGTCCTCTTTGTGCTGCTGTACTGTTCCCAAATGTCTGTTCTGTTATCCTGATCAGGCTTTGTGAATACAGTGATTATGAAAGTTAAAGTGTTGTCAGGATGGTGTGGGGAAGGCCCTGTATGCCCCACCCACACTTCGGAGTGTCCATCCCATGCCATCTGCACTGGAAGGAAAGCAGACATGGAGGGCTTTGGAGCTTTGAGGGTGCTGTTCTCTGGCTGCTTTTCTCTGTTCTAGATGTGATCAAAACCTCTTCCCGAGATGAAACTTTCAGTACTTCTGAAAATTCACAGTATTCAGATAACCCAGGCTAGAGCTGCTCAGAACAACCTGCTTCCTCCTAATGCAGAGAATGAAATAAGCTCTTGGTGTGATGACCTTCCTTCGTTTAAATGTAGAATTCTCTCTTGATTTTGCTCTGAAATGGTGCTAAGCTGAAGTGAACAGGGAATGGATGAAAGTGTCCACTGGTATTGATCCCTGATCGAAAAGTGAAGTCACTGGGAAGCAAGGGGGGGATGGTGTGGGGTGTGGGGCCAGGATCCTGTCCCTAGGCAGAGCAGCTCCACTGGGGTCCCATGGGATGTGTGTAGAGTGCCAGGGCCACTCCCCTGCCTGCCCCCAGCCCCTGCACAGCCTGCTCTGAGATGTTTTCCCCAATGTCTTGAGGGTCATGGAGGAGTTTTCTGTTGTACTGCTCACAAGCAGCTGTCTCAGGCACTGCTAATGGATAGCACTGCACACACAGCTGACCCCAGAGTCATCACTGCCTGGCTGGAGTTTCTGCTCTAAAATTTCCAAAGCACCAGGCTGGCTGAGTGCAGAGTGAGTGTGTGATCTCTGCTCTTACCTTGCCTTTCCCAGTCAAATATCCTGGAGGATGAAGGGGCTGAGGGCAATCAGAGGGGTCGTGTCCTTTTGCCTGCACAGGACCCCTTGTCCTGTCTGCCTGTCCCCACAGTGCTGGTGGGCACTGCTTTGAGCAGAGGGTCTGGTGTAGTAGAGGGGGTAGAGTGGGGCCCTGGTGGTAACCCTGTGGGCCCTGGTGGTCAGTGGATCTGGGCAGGTGATTCTCCACATCCCCCAGCTCTGAGCAGAGCCAGAACTGCTGCCCTGGTGCCCTCATTGCCTGTGGGGGTGTAAGGGCTGTTTGGGGGCTTGCTGTAACCTCCCACCACAGTGAGCAATTTCCCTGCTGGATTTGCACAGTGAGCAACCCCTGCCTCTTTCCTCAGCTCATCAGCTGTTCATTGATCCTTGCTGGATTCCTCCAGTGGTCCATCCATCACTCACACCTGCCATCCACCTTCCAAACGTTTCTTATTTTCCCAGTGATGTATTTCTCTGCTCAGACAAGCTAATCTTGCACCATGGTTACCCTGTGTGCAGCTGTGTCCCTGCCCTCTGTGCTGGTGCCTCTGCCCTGCACCAAGGGAGCAGCTGAGCCATGGTCACTGAGCCAAGCAACTGAGGGGCCTCCAGGAGCTGCTGCCCTGGCTGTGGGGGCTCTGCTGCAGCAGATCCTCCTCTCCCCTTGACTCTGGAACATGCAGGTGGAGCTGGTGCCCTCACAGCCAGGAAGGGCTCCTTTCCTACAGCTGTGTGGGGAGTGATGCTCCCCCGGGTGGGGCACAGCCCTAAGGAAGAGCTGCCTTGCCTGAGTGGGACTGGCTGTGGTGTCTGCTCTGGGGTCCCCACAGCCTCATCTTGGAGTGGCATTTGCAAACAGCTGAGGTGGGCAGAAAACTGGAGGAAAGTGTCACCATCTCAACTGGTGCCTCTGCTCATGGCTCATTCCCTGCTGCCAGCGTTCAGTGTCCCTGCAAGTGACAGCTTTATTTGTACCACCAGCATCGAGAGGATGAGCCGTGCATCAGGCATGGGTGAAAGGGCTAGAGCTGTCCTTTCCTTGCAGAAACTGCAGGCACTATAAATTCCCTCTTTCCTCTGATACCTGGCTGGCTGTGGGGCACTGTGCTGTCAGCATGAGGTGACAAGTCTGTGTATCAGCATCGGGGCACTGTCAACACCTCTGGAATGTGCCAGCACGGAGCAAAGCCAGGATTTGTTGCTCGTTCAGGTGTCCTTGGTGCTTCCCTCACCAGGATCCTGCTGCTACACTCAGTGACTGCAGAGCCCCGTGTGCTGTGAGGGTGCTGGTGGCACCTGCAGTGAGTCCCCCAGGACAGTGACAAGGTGAAAATGCACCCCCAGCCCAGGCAGAATGGGGATCAGACACAGCTTCTGCTGCTGTGGGGAGATACTTCTGGAAATGTGGGGCTATAAACACCTTCACAAACCTACTCACAGACCTGGGTAGCCCTTGTGGAGATCACATTGGCTTGAGCACTCAGAGCAGGAGATGCATGGTTTACATTTTAATTTGCACTTGCCCTGCAAACAAAAATGCATCTGTAGAACTTCACTAGCAGAGCCAGTTCAAACTCATGGAGCAGTGGCTCAAATGAGCAGAACAAGGCCAGGCTGCCTGGGCCAGGGTTGGAATTAGAGCTGAAGCTGCTTGGTGTCTGACCCTTTCCAGCCCTGCTGGAGCTGTTGGCAGTGATGCTGTCTGAGGCATCCAAGAGCCCTTAGCAGGGAGAAGTTTTCCTCCATCACTGCAACCAGAGATCTGTGATGCTGCTACTGCCCTCCTTCTTCTCAATACAATGAGAACCAGAATCAGGGTAATTAAGCTGGAAACACAAAATTGGAATTTGCAGCTGATTAAGTCTTTCAAACAATTTATGTTAATCTTCTTCTGATTTATTTTGTTTTAATGCCTTGACTAGGAGACAGTCCACTGCTTGGGGAGATGCTTCCAGATGAAGCCCAGCCTGTCCTGCCAGATGCTGGGAGCTCAGAGTGAGGGTTTTTCACAGGATACTGATTTAAGGAATTAGTCTGTAGAAGTGTAGATTATATAGACACAAGGGACCTTGAGGTCATCTGGAGAGTCTGTTTCCTCAGACAGCATTCCCTCTTCCAGGTCACCCCAGGTACATTTGTCAGATTTGCTCTCAGCTCCCTTTTCTGGAGGATGTTCTGCCTGGCTGCTCTTCTTCCTATTTTCCAGTTCCTTAAAAAAACAGTAATTTGTACTGGAATTTTTCAGGGGCTTAAAGGTAACGCGGTCTGTGTTCATCCACCTCTTCTCCATTTTTTCCCTTTTTCAGAACTGCTGTGGTTTACCCACCCTGGCGTTGACACCTTGGGGATGGCTGCAGGGAGTCCCTGGGGAGGGGGCTCTGGGTGATGCAGGTGAGGTGGGGAAGTCTGGGGTGCCATGGGATGTCACCACTGCAGGAGCCACGAACAGTCCCTGCATGCAGGGAGGAGAAGTCCAGAGGTCAAGGGCTTTCCACTGTGGAATTGTTAAATTAACTATTAATTTAATTTTGATTAAATTAGAACTTTTTTTTTTCCTTACCAGCAAATGATTCTCTGCATAATTAATGCTGGCTGGGACTGCTGATTCATTTGCTGCTGCTGCTGTGGGACAGAGCATTCCATTGCACTCCAAGATGTGCTGGGTCCCAGGGGCAATCCTGTAGGAAAGCCATGTGTGGCCCTGGGTCAGGGCCCAGGACAGGGCAAGCACTGGATCAGATCCCCCTTGCAATGAAATAATTCATTTTTATTGATGAGCCCACTGTCCCCGGGGTCTGGGGTGATGCTCTCCATTAACTCTGCCCACAGGGAGTGGCCTGGCTGCTGTTCTGTCAGGTGCAAGTTGTCATCAGTCACAGCTTGGTTGGATGAGATTTCTGGGGAATGAGGAGCTCCCAAGCTCGTGGCAGTTACCTGCCCAATGTGGGCAGAGGGGAATTTTCATGTTTTTGTCCTTGGTGTATAATTGTGTCCTCTGAACACCCTTCAAATGCTGACAGTGTTCCCCAGGTGTGGAGAGAGCCCTTCCTTGCCTCCAGGTGTCTGAAAGCAAAAGAAATGGTGACTTCACAGGGATTTGGGATTTTAATCATGAAACATCATCTTTTAAACCCTGCAGTGAGTGGGACAGTTGGTTTCCTTATTCTGAGCATGTTTGGCCAAAATCCTCTACTGGTTACCAGACATCCCTCCCCCTCTGTCTGCAGCTGTGGGGAGATGAGTGGTGGGGCAGGGATGGAGGTGGGACAGGGATCCATGGTGGGGCAGGGATGGAGTTGGGACAGGGATCCATGGTGGGGCAGGGATGGAGTTGGGACAG